CCGAATATGAGCAATAAACTCAGCCCGACTCTTCAAAGCCGTTAGGTCCTCGGGCTCATCTTCAGCGGGTTGTTGAGCAGCATTCAGTTCCTCGACCTGCTTGCCCAGGCGTTCGACCTCAGCAGCCAAACGATCCCTATCAGCCCGGAGCAACTCCCCTTCCTCGGTCAACCGCCCCGACTTCTCTTTCTCCAAGGTCAGCGCCTCCCTCTCGGCGTCAAGTATCACGGTCTGCTCTTGGAACATCCCCTCGGAGCGTTCCAGAGCGACCTTCAACTTCCTTGAGCTCGCCGTCAGGGCTGCCTTCTCCCGCTCGAGCTCTTCAACACGAGCAGCGTCCCCTGCGTCTTCAGACAATACCAGAGCCATTTCAGCCATTTTAACCAGCCCATCCACGCTGGCGACCAGCCGCGACCGCCTCTCCTCTTTGGTCATCCTTTTTATGGCCTCAGCTTCGTGCGCGACCACGGTCGGGGGAAACCGCTCGAAAAAACCCTCCTCCTCGATGCAGGGGGGAAAAGCAAAGGATTGAACGGGACCGGTATCTTCCCCGACAGTTGGACCGCCTTCCACGCGGGTCCTCTTCCTTTGTGTCAGAACGGCTTCGGCATCAATGACTTCGACATCTGGATCTGACGCCGCCCCCGAGCTCGAGGTCGAATCCACCCTCACAGGCTGAGAAGCGTTCAGATTTGTCGGTGGACCCATTCTCGTCATCTGAGGGCCCGGCACGACCTTCTTGTTTCGCCTATGGCCGGTCGACAGTTTCAGGAGCCTCTCGTGTCGGCTGGCCATCGTACCTGCACGAAGTAAAACAAGTCAGTATCGAGCAAAACGCATAAATAAATGACAAGTAAATTGCAAACAAACAACCTAACAGGCGGGCTGCCTCCCTATAGGTCGAGCATTCCACCAACGCCTTGGTATCAATCGGGCGAGCCTCGAATATCGGGTAACCGTCCTTGTCGAGGATATCATTCCCCTCCCGTGTAACCCACTGGGCGGGATGAAAACCGTCGACGAAGTTACAGAGAGCCGCATACGCCCGTTGATCCTCCGTGCACATGTCCCCGACTGCAGTGTGGAAGTAGCCGGTTCCATTCTGGAAGTGTCGAGACATCCAGTACACCGGGAACTTAGCCCGACGTCCTAGTACGGGGCTCCCGTCATCGGTCACCATGACCTCCCCGTCATCATCGCTGACCGGCCCTTCCTCCTCGAAGAGGGAATCCACAGCAGAGTCAGTGATAGGGTGTACCACATACCACTTATCCTTGAACCCCCTCACAGAGTCCATGTACATCCTAAACAGTCTCCTCGACTGCTTCAAGGACACCCAGCTGTGCTTCCCTCCTCGGGACTGGCGCTGTAGGTGGAAGACCCTAAAGAAGAGAGGGATGGTCGCCCCTATCCTTAAGTAGCGGCACGTCAGCTCAAACGCCCGGATGAAGGCGAGAGAGTTAGGGTGTAGCTGGGACGGGGCCAGCTCCAGATGCGTAAAAACCCCGGTCTCAAAATCTGTGAAGGGCAGCCGCAAACCCAAGTCCTTAAAGGCGATCTCGTACATCGCAAAACTGTAATCCGGGTACATCGAGCAGATTCTGGCAGTGGTCGCAGGCAGCATGACCTCGAAATTCGGTTGAAAGTCAGGCTGGTCCTGCCCCCCTTCAATGACGATGAACGGGTGTCGGTCATCCCGACTGTATATCGACGCCGTCCCCCGAGGCTCGGCGCCCACCCATTCCAGCGACGGGTCGGTCACAGTGTCGATAAGGTTGGCCGACTCGTCGGCACTTTGTTCTTCGCTGTCATGACGACCTGAGGAGCTCGGCTCATCCGCCATGGTTACCTGCAGAGCACGGGAAACCAATCAGATTGAGCATGAAGCCCTATGCTCGACATAATCATGTCGTCCATACACTATCACGAGTCCATTTTCACAAGTGGATGCCTCCCCGACTCTCCTGAATCCAGTGTTCCTCCACAAACCAACTGCGCGGCCACTCTTCAAGCATGTCGATCCGGGGTATGAACATGGCGAGCCGCATTATGAAGCCCACGGCCACGACCATAAACATACCGGACACCGTCATGAATCGGGCGCCCAGGATCATGAAGACCCCGGGCAGCTCTGAAGTTTTTCATCTAAAACTAAGAATGTGACGGCCACAAGTACGCGTTTGCCGGCCCTAGACATGAATCTGTCGGGCAAAACACGAGTTTACCGGGCTAATCCCACATTAACGATCCTAAAACATCTACATTTTCCAAGAATCATGCATTCTAAAACAGGAAAATAAGGAAAGTGGATCACTTACTTGGATCAAAGATAGGATTCGGCTAGGAAAGGAAGAATCTGAGACGGGAAGTCACGGTTGGAGAGAGTGTTGAGAGTTGCAATGAAGAGAGCACGAAGAACGGAAAACGTATTATGGGGCCCAAGGACCCTATTTATAGTGGTGACATGGAATACCAAACGTCACCTCGTTTAGCCACGGACTCCGTCTCCTCGACGCACTGCACCCAACGCAATGATGGCCCTACCCCCCTAGGGTGGCGGCACAATTCCCAAAAGATGCCTCGCGTGCCCGACCAACGTGCTCGGTACGGATCCTCCACGCATCCACCACCGAGGACGTTCCCGAGCACAACACGAGGAGGCTCCTCGAGGGGCCGCGCCTCCATTCTGGGCACGAGACCTCAGCGACTGAACAAGGTTTCAAGTCATGGCTCCTCGCAAAGGAACCACGACTTGGGGGGCTCCTGTTCTGGACTGGGCCCGACAGGCCCAAAAGCATTACTAAGGCCCAGTCCAATGGGACTCGCTAAGGACCACAACGTCTATGCCCGACACCCTGATGTCCACCTCGACATCCCAGTGTACCAGCCCACGCGACGAAGTCACGCTCGACAGACTGCCGACCAGCTCTATGCCCTGGTTTCCAGCTCGACATTCGCTGTCCAGCTTGGGGTCTTGGCACCGAGCTCGACATCACGCTGCACTGCTCGACATGGACTCAAGCTACCTTGCTAGGGCAGACTCAGTCACCATTGCCCCAACGATACTCCGTAAAGACCGCGTCTCTGTCCGCCCGCACTTCACGCACCACATCCAGGGAGGGGACCACGTGCTGATCCCCACTACCCACGTAGGACCTGGCAGTTCCTCCATTGGGCCAAATCCGCCCGGCCCAGTGAAGGAACCTTGGCCCAGCGCTGGGGGCTATAAATACCCTCTGCTTCCAGAGGGTCAGGTAATCTTCAATTCTAACCTCAACTCTATTATCTGCTAGTACTCTCGCTGACTTAAGCATCGGAGTGCCTTGCAGGTACCCCCCCCCTCCTTGTTCAAAAAGCCTTCAGCTCGGAGCAGCCGTGACGGTCCAAACCTCCTGATCAGGTCAGATCACTTACGTTTTATAATACTGTAAAATTATAATTTAAAACATGTCAACTAAATAATATTATTTATAAAATAGTTAAAAGTATTTGGAAATAATTATTCAAAGTTCAAATAAATTAAAAAAAATTATACATGAAAATAGAAAATAATGATAATCAAAATAAATAATTTTAAATTATATTATCTATTATTAATTAATGTGTAGAAGAAGATAAACTAAAGATAATAAAGACAATTATTTATTTATTCAATTAGATCAAATTATCCATTATAAAAAAGAGAATACCTCTCTGATTAATTATACTTTAATAAATTTAACTCCTATTATCTAAAGTTATCTCTTGAATTTGTAAAACTTTTATCTCTAAAAAATTACCACTAATATTTTCAAAAGATTTTTTGCTGTTAAGAGCTTTAAAGTTCTAAGTTATTTTGGAAATGTTTAAAGATTTTTTTAGATTTGTTATCTTTAAATATTTTCAAAAGATTTTTTGCTATGAACTAGTTAGTATTACTTGATTTCACAATTAGCAATTCATGGCCTTCTTATTGTTAGAGTTATAGTTAAAGACATGTGAACTATTAATATTACTAACTTGATTACATTAATTATCAATTCAATGTACAGTATTCTTTTTTTAAAACTTAAATGGATTTTTGTTTTTGTTTTTTATTTTTGAGTTTTTTAAGTTTTAATTTTCTATTTTAAAAGTCAATTTTTAAACTTTTAAATTTTACCTCCTTTGAAATTTTGTCAGTCACTTATATTTTATATATATAACACTTTTATTAATAACATGACATAACTACAATAATTCTTTATAATATATTTATAACAGTGTTATATTATTAATAAGAATATTACATATATAAAATTAAAAGAAAATTAATGAAATCTTGAATAAGATAAAATTTAGGAATCAGAAAATTAACTTTTAAAATGTGGACTGAATCTTGAAAAACGTGAAAATATATCAAAAGTGCAGCTTTTTTTTATATTCCTTTTTAAATTTTCAGTCAAAGATTTATACATAATTATTGTATAATAATATTATTATATATAATATTTTAATATTTTAATATGACGCGTGTTTTAATTGTTGCGTCACCGATGCATAGTTCCAAAGACAACAATCTGTTTTGCGAAACAGCTCTTTCACCACCACCACCACCACCAAAAGTTTTAAAAAATTCGCCACGTCAGCATATCAGTATTTGGTTTTTTACCGAGTAGAAAGAAACCAGTGAAACAAACCCAAACAGTTCACGTTTTCCTCAAATGACAAATATACCCTCAACTAATTTTCGTGGCATTTCCTCATTGGCTTTGAATAAAAAAAACATTAACATTACACTTCATTTCCACCTTGTACAAAACCCAGAATATATTAAACCAAACCGAAAAACCAAAATTGCCACAACATAGGAACTCTCTCTATTCTCTCTCTGTTTGTCTTTCTCTCTCTAATTTCATTTTCTCTTTCTTTCTCTCTCTTCTATTCTTTCAAACCAACACGGTTCTGTGTGTCACTGTTGTTGGAGGGTCTCTCTTTCTGGGACTCTCTGGGTTTCAAAACATCGTCAAGAAAACATAAACATGAGTTGTTTTCCTTGTGTTGGAAAATCACGCCAAAAGAATCTAGCCAACAATTCTAGCCGTAGAGACAAGCATACTAATTTCACTTCAGCTGGTAATTTTTTTCATCAATGGATCTTCGTATATTCGTATTTTCTTATGCATTTTTGGTGGGTAAAAAATGAAATTTTTCATGTGGGTTTTGGTCAAAGGTTTTTTATTTATTTTTATATTTGGGATTTATTTCTATGATGCAAATTGTTGAAATTCTTGATCATAAAACATTCCCATTTTGCAGATTCTACTATCTTTCTCTCTCTATGATGGGTTTTGAATATGAATGGATATTTTGATTATTTATTATTTATTTATATATTCCTTTTCTGGGTTTTTCTCTCTCTTTCATTGGCTGTTTGCATGCTTGATCAATGAATCAAATTGGGGTTTGTCATTTTGTGGGTTTATAAGGTTTTGAATTTTGATGATTACTTGGATTGTTTGATGTTTGTGACATTTTGTTTGATTTTCATCCCTCACGTGTTATTTGTTTTATATGGAATTTTGTTTTGTTTTTTTGCAGATAAGGTCAAAGTTGATGTGAATTTGAATTTGAGTGCGAATGATAAAAAAGAAGATGAATCTAAACATGATCAGCTTTCCTTGGACGTGAAGAATTTGAATTTGAAAGACGGGGTTTCGCCGGATGGAAAAGTTGCAAAGACATTTACTTTTCAAGAACTCGAAGCTGCAACAGGGAATTTTAGAGCAGATTGCTTTGTTGGTGAAGGAGGGTTTGGGAAGGTTTATAAGGGTAATATTGAGAAAATAAACCAGGTAGGTTAAATGTTGTTCCTTTAAAGAAATTTACGTGTAGAAATTTTATAATGACTTACACATTGGTGTTAATTGGTTTGGTGTAGGTTGTTGCGATAAAGCAACTCGACCCGAATGGTCTTCAAGGGATCAGAGAGTTTGTCGTTGAAGTGTTGACGCTTAGTTTGGCAGACCACCCGAATCTTGTCAAGCTATTAGGGTTTTGTGCCGAGGGAGAGCAGAGGCTATTGGTTTACGAGTACATGCCATTGGGATCTTTGGAGAATCATTTGCATGGTAAGCTATATTGTTAGTTTGTTACCCTAAATAATATGGAGAGTCATTTTCAAAGTTTATGTTGTTGATTTTACTCATTCTGTCAGATCTTTCGTCCGGAAGAAAGCCGCTGGATTGGAATACAAGGATGAGAATAGCGGCTGGTGCAGCTCGAGGTTTGGAGTATTTGCATGATAAGATGAAGCCTCCTGTCATATACCGTGATCTCAAATGCTCCAACATTTTGTTAGGTGAAGATTATAATCCAAAGTTATCTGACTTCGGCTTGGCAAAAGTAGGCCCGATTGGTGACAAGACTCATGTTTCAACTAGAGTTATGGGCACATATGGGTACTGTGCTCCGGATTACGCAATGACGGGTCAATTGACGTTCAAGTCTGATATTTACAGCTTTGGAGTTGTTCTTTTGGAGCTCATCACAGGCAGAAAGGCTATCGACCATAAAAAACCTGCTAAAGAACAAAACCTAGTCGCATGGGTATGTCCGATTATATATTACATAATTCTAACTCTGTTGCTGGAAAACATAGCTGATGTTTATACTTGTTTTTTACAAGGATCGTTGATTGTGTCAGAAATTTAGATGAATTTTCTTGCATGTTGCTAAACTAGAGTTTTGTATATAATCCATTTTAGCACCGAATACATTGTGTTTCATTGAGCAGTTCGATGATGATGAAAAGAAGCCCTTATTTTGAAGGTTATTGATTCATTCTTACGGTGTGCATGTATATTTGGTTTCAGGCAAGGCCATTATTCAGAGATCGACGAAGATTCTCGGAGATGGTAGATCCATTGCTTCAAGGTCATTATCCAGTGAGAGGTTTGTACCAAGCTCTTGCTATTGCGGCTATGTGTGTTCAAGAGCAACCTAATATGCGGCCTGTTGTAGCTGATGTGGTTACGGCTCTAAATTACCTTGCTTCGCAAAAGTATGATCCGCAAACTCATCCAATACAAAGACCGAGAAAAAGTTCATCTTCTACGAGAGGTAGTAGCGCAGGCCATAGACGTGTTACTAGTAATGATTCCGAGACGGACAGATTTGGAGATTAGAAATGTGGAGTAATGTGTTCAGACACTTACATTGTAATGCTCCCAGTTATCAAGTTTTGCTTTATAGGAGAGATAACAGATCCTCTTAAAATCAAGAATTTCACAGAAAAATTCTTCCTTTTAGTTCCCCCTATCCTCTTTGTACATGTGAGATTACTATTTTGCATTAAAGATGCTTCTTATTAGGATTCTGGATCTGCTTCATTTCATAATGTTTAGCTTTAGCTACAAATATATATGACTTGTATGCTTTGTTTAATTTACATAGATCAATAAACAAAACAAAACAAAAAATCGTAGAAAAACATTACATTATCGTGTGATATTTTGGTGTGTTTCTGATGCAACTGTGAAATTGAAAAAAATATAGTTTGAAGTTTCGTTTCCAATCAAAAAATCGATTAGAAACAAAATCAGGACACCGATGATCCAGGTGAAAACAGCATGCACCATGTCACAGCTATAACTCAGTAAATTCTCCCTCTCGACACATTCCCACCGATAAGTATAGAGCCGAGCTCTTACGCGATGGCATAACTCTACAACAATCCCTCCTTGGTGACTGCAAAACAAGTCAAATATTCACTTCATTATAAAATCATCCATTTCAAACCTGTTTTCATATGAGAAACTAACAGTACCTTGTTCCAGCGTTGAGGATCGCGACTTTTAGTGACAACAATGGACGTGATTTTCTCAGGCGAAACCATTCTCCACCGGCAAAAGGGATTCTTAGATTTGTCGCGAGTATAAACACCAACGGTTTGTTTAGCAGAAGGATCATAACTAGTTTTACTCATGTAATAAATAAAGGGCTTTTGACATGGATGTTTAGCAACAGGCCTTGTGTTGAAAGCATAAGCAGTATAATCAGCTCTTTTGTACCAATTCAAAAATGTTCTTGATGGCATTTCTAGTTCTCTAGGGGACAAAATTCCCCTTATAACTTGAACCATGAATCCCCAAGAAACTGATATTGACCAAAACCTGTTTTTGTCATAGCATATTGATTGTTGCATTATGCTTCCTGAGTCTTGGTTGATTGATTCCATCAAGTGTCTTAAGGATTGCACTCTTGACATTGTTGGGAATATTGGTTGTACTACGTCAAGGTGGTGTAGTGATACTAGTGGAGTCACTGGATGTGCACCCAGAAGGCCTAATAGATCTCCATACACATCATACTGCACAAGAAGTATCCATGATAATCAAAATTTCAAAGTATCATGTAAATATGACAACAATGAAGCACAAACATCACACATAAGAGATACGGACACGTCGACATCGATAATAATTTAAAAAATATAAATAAATTAAACATAAACACAAATGTTGATGTCAATGTCTCACATTGACACAGACATAAATACGTTTTTTTTTCCAAAAATGTCACTTGTACTAAGTATGATGATAATAATAAAAGTGTCTACACTATTGCAATGTGATTCTATTAGACCAAACTCATATTATTCAATTGTCCATTTGTGAGAGTCTCGTTTAAAGACAGAGCAATGTACGGTGGTCCAACACAGGAATTTTAAACACCTAGCGGAAATGGAATATGAAACTTTGAGAGGATCACACTTTTAAGATCAAAGCCTTCACTATTAGGCCAACTCTAAGGAGTTGATCAGAAATCTTTTGACTACGTGAATGCGTTACACAAATGGAAAACACCTAAGATTTGATCAGAACTCGACCGATTATATCCACATCTATCTATGACAACATAGCATGTTATCCAAATAGAAAACACTTGAGATTTGATCAGAGTTCGGCCAATTATATCTGCGTCTATCTATGACAGCATAGCATGTTCGTAGAGAGCTCGCTAGCTGGAATGATCTATTCACTTATATGTAAACTATGAGACATGCTCAACAATATCCAACTGACCAACACAATCAATGGTTTATATACATGACATACAAAATCTCTAATAATTTACCTGGTGAAATCCAGCTTCCTTTGTGAGAGGCACACCTAACTCAGCCATACATGCTTGAATTCTGTCATCACTACCATACAAAGCAGGGTACCTCTGAATACAACGATCTTGCACCTTAGACAACTCCAAAGCCAATGGATAACTTATAGCAAATCCGCCACCACCATATGCCATAGCATATGAAAAATGTATATTCTGAACATGACTCTCAGAAGAACTTCCAACATAATAAAAATGCCTATGATCATACTTTGAAAGAATCCTAACAACATTTTCAACAACAAAAACAGTATCATCATCTCCCATAACAAACCATCTCACATCTTTCATTCCAATCTTCAGTGTTTCTGTCACAATCCTTGATATCCTCAATGCTGATCTTTGTCCCTGTCGATTCGTATACCGAAATCTAGAAGTGTCTCCGGAGATTCGAATCTCGGGTAACCCTTCGTTTCTCCGCGTACTAACTCTTCTATCTAACCAAACAACACCTCTTGTTTCTTTCGGCCTCCACCATGTTTTTATGTATTCTTTTCTTGTATTCCATAAATTCGACGAAGCGGCTATCCCAAAAACAATGTGTTTCAGCTCAGTTTTTTCTCTTTTAGCCATTTGTCGAGGCGTTAACCGAACTACAATAGGCGATGTGTTTCCTTCTTGTTCTTCATCGCCATGAGAATCTTCTTCTTCTTCTTCTTCTTGTTCTTGTTCTTGTTCTTCTTCTTGTTCCGGTTCTTGTTCTCTTTCTGTATCATCTACGACTTGATCTTTGTTTTCGATCGCTAAAACTTGGTGTTCGATGTTTCTGTCCGAAGTGGAGGACATATTGTAACTAGTGATTTGAACATGTTCTTGTGTGGTGTCATCTAAAGTGGTTGTTGATGGTTGACAATCTTGGTGGTCATTGTTGAAGAGAACAATGTTGAAAGCATAAAGAATGTATAGAACAATTGTGATTAAGATCAACCAAGTTGTTATGCTTCTTGAGCCATTATGGATCATGCGTTGATGAGAAGGATAGTGCATTTGGTTATTCTTTTTTGTTAGTTTATGGTCTTCAAATATTGTTTCAGATTAATTGTTGCATCACACAATTTTGTGTTCTTGTTGTTTGGATTAGGTGGTAGTGGTGGGAAGGTACATTCTGGCTCAGAATTGTTCGGATCACAGAAACATAGAGAGATAGAGAGAGAAAGACAGTGTGTGTGTGTGAATCTTAATAACTAGTTTTGTTTTGGTTCCAAAAAATGAAGTTTGTTATGGAAGGAAGCGAAGTTGAATGCGGTTTAAATGGATGCTTGGTTGACAATTATGTCAATGGCATTAAGTTATATTTTGAGATTTAAGATGATACTTGGATATGATGACTTTATATGACAATTTATTAATTCTGTTTTTTACTAATATATTTCAATGTGTTAAAAACTAATGTAAACTAATAACTTGAAATTAGTAAAAGTATTTTATGAGAAAAGATGATATATATATATATATATATATATATATATATATATATATATATATATATATATATATATATATATATATATATATATATATATATATATATATATATATATATATAAATTTAATTATGGTATAACTAGATGTTTCTAAACCATTAGTTGAAGAATCTGATGTTGTTGAACTAAGTGAACCTAGTAATGTTGAACCAGATTTGTCAAATCAGTTATTACATGATGAAAATAATTCTGTTTAGTTTGTTATTAAACAGTTTGTAGTTTGTTATATTTGTTATAATTCTGTTTAGTTTGTTACTAAACAGTTTGTAGTTTGTTATAGTTTGTTACACTCAAACAGTATATATAGTACTGTTTTGTACATTCCAAATCAGAATAATACATTCAGTTTATTCCAAAATTAACATGGTATCAGTTTGAATTCCCTTTTCCGCGCCTTTCTTCTTCGCGCCTTCGCGCCTCCTTCTTCCCTTGCTGCTTCAGCTTGTTATGGCGCTTCCTTACTCTGATTTTGCTACCAATTCTTCCAATCCTTACTACATGCACCCTAATGAGAATCCCTCTCTTGTTCTTGTTCAACCTGTTCTTGATACCAAGAACTACCAGATCTGGTCTAGATCAATGAAAGTGGCTCTTATCTCCAAGAACAAGAACAAGTTCGTTGATGGCACTCTTTCTCATCCCCTACCTCCGACTCTATATACGAACCTTGGCTGCGATGCAACAATCTCGTCCTCTCATGGCTTCAACGCTCGATTTCTGAGGAAATTGCAAAATCTCTTCTCTGGTATGATCGTGCTTCTCTTGTATGGAAAAGTTTGGAAAATCGTTTTTCTCAGGGAGATATTTTTCGCATTGCTGACATTCAATAAACTGTTGCTCGTCTTCAACAAGGAACTCTTGATGTCTCTTCGTTCTTCACGAAATTGATGACGCTTTGGGAAGAAATTGAGAACTTCCGGCCAATTCGTGATTGTACTTGCGCTATACCGTGCTCCTGTGGTGCTGCTTCAGACTTACGCAAATTCAAAGAATAAGATAAAGTTATCAAGTTCTTGAAGGGCCTTGGTGACCAATACGCTCATGTTCGCTCGCAGATTATGCTGATGAAACCACTACCAACTCTTGATAATGTGTTTAATCTGGTTCTTCAACAAGAACGTCAATTCGACCTCCTTTCACCTTCTGCTTCTTCGATTGAGTCTCAATCGTCTGTGAATCACCTTTCTCAAGCACCTTCTCGTTCTTCTCACAACCCTGGTCGTGGTCGTGGCCGTGGTGGCCGTGGAAACAGACTCTGTACTCATTGCAACCGCACCAATCACACCATTGAGACTTGCTTCTTGAAACATGGCTATCCCCCTAGATTTCAACAACGCAAGCCTACTACATCTGTGGGAAATTCTGCTGATTCTATAGTGAACTCGATTCAAGATGCTGCTTCCACATCAAACACCAATCCAAGTGCTTTGTCTACGATTCAAGAGCAATACACTCAGATTCTGCAGCTCCTCAAACAATCTAATTTGCAATCTCCTTCACCTCCCTCGATTAATTCTGTTTATACT